TGAAGCACGAGTGCTCGTTGCCAGTGGACAAGAGCTTCATATCCTTGGCATCACACTGCATGATCATGGTCGATGAAGGCATGTCAAACCATACGGGGGTCTCATCGGCATTGCCGCTCTGCCCCATCATGTAGTTTCTGCTCCAGAAGTCGGTTCACGAAGTCCTGAAAGTTTATAAGCTTGTCCTCGAACCCATCTGAAAAGCTTCTAACAAATGGATGTGCACCACTGGAAAGAAAATCCCTTGCGTCTCAAGAACCGATCCACCCAAGAGTTTGGTGCACAAAACTCTTATCTCGTGAGCCCAGCTTCTCGAGCGAGTTCCACAGCTTTCTTGCGAATGGTACTTACGGTCACTGGCAGTGAGCACGCATGAACTTCCCACACAAAGTTCCCTAGCGTATTCTCCACCTGCAGATGAACCGCACTTCACCCACAAGATGACATTCTCTGAGGATTGCACATCTGCAGCTTCCCTTTTTGCACCCTCCAATAGCGCACACTTTTTTCTGATACACCAAGGCGGCGCTGAGCAGGCATATTCTCATTCGCCTATGCGAATTCAACAACCTCTAGTTTAAACGCAGCTGAGTACTGCCTTCTCGTACCGCTACTCATATTCAGTGAACGAAAAAACGACCACTAAAAATGAAACACAATGTCAAGCAGAGCGCGAACTTACAACAGATCGGAGGCAAATCACGCACACAAAAAAACACAGAAGAGAAAAAAAAAAAACCTGCTACCGGATTTGAGTGCGAATATGGCCGTGTCCAGCTTCTCATGCACGTGCAAGCCACATGTTGCCAGACAGCAATGCACTGTCTGCTAGACACCGCTATCTAAGACGAGGGGCGACTTTAGCTCGTTATATTGAAATAATCTCGACTTATATTTCGATTTATACGGTATCAATTCCGCTCTCCAGAACTGACGCTGCACGGAAACTTTGCATGCTTGCTCGCAAGCGCACCACGTCACAATGGAACGAGACACATTTCACCCATGCACTAATATGTACCTTAGACCCAACTCTCAGTCTTCGAATTCCTCCGGAACTTCGCCGACGAGACGCTACTATGCTGTGCAAATTATGGTTGGGTGTCGCATTTACAAATGCGTACGTGTTCCACATAGGAATGGCCGACACTGCTGCATGCAACCATTGCAGCAGTGACGAAACAACTTTGCACATTCTGTGTTAGTAATCACAATACTGCTCGTAGAGACAGTCACTCTGCAATGCACTAGATGAACTGGACAACCAGATTCTTTCGGAAGAAAGAATCCTGTGCTTCTTGCATTCAACCGGCCTGTCCAAACGACTGTGATTGGAACTCCCTAAATGTGTGCGCATGTGAATTTTTTTCTAATTTATTTTGTATCTCTCCATCTTTATCCTCTTTCCGACCCATTTCCCCACCCCTGTACAGGGTAGCAAACCAGTTCTAGGTTAACCTCCCTGTCTCTTCCTTTTATTTATTTCTCTCTCTCTCTGCTTGTACTGGACAGATTATTAAAATTTTTGCAGCGTTGAATTTGTGGGGCAATAAGCTCCTCCATAGAATTAATTTCATGGTTAGTCAAAAACGTGTTTCAGGGCCGCTTTAAAGAAAACCACAATTTCCAGTCGTTCTTTCACTGTACAACTTAAAACTAGGCAGTAGCCACTTCAGCACTACTACTCGGAAAATTCCCTTCTTAAAAAAATAATAGTAAAAAGTCTCGTGAGCTTCTAGTCTGACCTGACTAGGCTGACTAATTTTCAGCATGCCTGGTGCCCTTAGTTTTGGTTTTGCCTAGGGTCGGGGCCTTTGACAGGTGATACTGCAAGTGTTAACAATTTTTTGCTGATTACTTATTTCACTATAACGTTTGGCATGGCAAGGCTTTACACTTCTGTTTAGTCTTTGTTTGCTAAGACAATGGCCTGGCTGTCAAAGCATTTTTATCAAAAACTGTGTTGTCTGCGAAAAAAGCACCTTGTATCTTGCTTTTATAGCTTAATTGGACTCGGACTCGCCAAATTTCTTTTAAGCAGACTCGCCAGATTTACCTACTAAGATTGTTCTCAGCCAAACTCTCGCAGACTCGGAATCGAGGCTCGACGTATGTGTGTGTGAGTTTGAATCATTTGACTCGTAGATGAGCTTGCCGACTGATGGTCTTCTGGCATACTGATAGTACTTGTGAAAGGCTTCTGTACGATATTTGCACGTAATTTGAATTGGGCTAGTTGGTTTAAGTTGAACTGTATGAAACTGCACTTAAGAGTGGCTTTTCCAAAGCATTGGACACACCCTGCATCATAAATTGGCAACTTTCCTATACCGAAGCACTTCCTTGTGGCAGATTAGTCATTTCTTTGCTAGCTGCCGTCATAAGCATGGTGCCACAGCTTATGGTGCTTTCCATTGGAGGAGCAGGAGCAAGGGTAACGAGCAGCCAGAGCAAGAGCAGCACACGGGGGGCAGCGGGGACGTGTCTCTTGTCTCCCGAATAGAACAATCGCCCTGCTCCAAGAGCAGAGCAAATAGTGAGGCGCATGACGTCAGGCGTCCTGTGACCAAACTTTACTTGTGCTCGCACACCGCCTTCGCAGAGATGTTCAGACATTCCGTACGCTCGCATCTATCTGGGCAGCCGGGCACACCGCCTCCCAGGGCATTAAACCACTAGTGTCGTGAGAAAGGTAATGTGAGTTCATTGCTGGTGGTATAGCAACGAAAATTGCTCTCAGCTTCCGTCGACGCTGGACTAGTGCTTCACCTCGCCCAATGAAACACAACGCCCCCGCTCCTGCCCGACCACTGGAAGGTTCTTGATGTAAGGGTTTTTTAGCTGAGTCAAGCACAATGCTACAAGCAAAATACTTTTGTGCACCAGAATGCCAGGTGTCAACTGCGCCTGCACTGTACGCCCGAAAACATGGCCGAAAAAGGTTGCTGCACACCTGAAATCTGTCAAGTAGCTGTCGTGCGCTATGTAGCTCGTCAGCTCCTGAACTTGATGTCTTTATTTGCAACTCGCGAGATCGTTTTGAGTGCAGTTAGAAGTGCTGCTGCTCGCCCAATGGAAAACGCTATTACAGTCGAACCCCGCTATAACAAAAGTGATGGGGCGCGAGGATAATTTCGTTGTAGTGAAATTGAAAAAATATAGTTGATCTGAGCTAGGAAAACAAAGGAACGTTTATTCTCAAAATTTAAAAAATGTCCGCTGCTTTCTATTTTTCCCCAGCAGCATCACGACGTGATTTTCACCCATGCATAGCGGGGCTATGGTGAAAAGCATGCTGAAACAACGCCTAAAACCGCCTTCATGAATGAAACAAACAGTGGCATTAAGACGTTAACACCAGCAGCTGTCCGCCGTCAAAAGTATCGGACAACACCGAGATGGAGTCAGGGTATCCTGGAGAGGTGACTTTTGCATTATTCTGTGCCGTTCTTATCTTCCATCACTCGTGGCTAGCTGATTTTGTTGATAATGCGGACGAACAGCTTCTCCGATTAGTTACCATAGTGGCCAAGCACGAACATAATAATAAGCATCAGAAAAGGCATCATTTCGGGGTTGTACACAGCAGCTGCGTGAAGGAAACCATGAACTGAGCGACTGAGCTTCAGCTTCAGATCATCTGGGGCTCAAAAGCAAGCCGTGGCAAAAGCAGGGCAGTCTTATTGCCATCGCTATCATGCAATGGCGCCGCCCATGCTTGCTGAACAGCTGCGGTTCCTGGTGGTGCCAATGCATGTTTTAGACTTCGTAGACGTATTTTCTAGTTCTGAAAATGCATCAAAATGTTAGACTGTGTTTACTGTATAGCAATAAATATCTCAGCCTGGAATCTCATCGTGAAATTTTGTTAAAGCGGGACGACAAAAGAAAATGTGTTCGTTGGAACGACAAAATTTATGCATCGAGTTCTATGGACTGCTTACGGGGAGTTGTGAATTTTTCATTGTAGCGGAAATTTTGTTGAAGCGGCGTCCGCTGTAGCGGAGTTCGACTGTACTCCGACCATCCCCCATCCCATTGCACAGGCAGTTGTATTGCAATTGTCATGAATCATGGCCTTATCTTTTTCTTCATGGCTTCATGATGTGCTAACATGGCATAGCCACTGCATCTGTGATGGGAATAGTGAACTACTTGGCATTGATTTATTGTTGGTTCCATTCTGCAAGTAGAGCAGATAGACTCCACTCAACTGGCATCTCAAATCAAGTTGCTGTCACCGATGTACGCCCCGCTTAGGGTTAAGATCTTTTGCTGGAGCAAAAGTAGCCTGTATCAAAGTAAGCTCATCGGTGCTGAATCAACGAGATTACTTTGCTGACGAAGCGTAAGGACAAGAGTTTAAATGCAAATAAGAGCGTTAGTTTGGAGCTAATGAGCTACGATGCGCACGACAGCTACTTGATAGATTTCAGGTGTGCAAGCAACCTCTTTTGGCCTATGTTTCTGGGCGTGCGTGCATGCGAAGTTGACTCCTGGTATTCTGGTGCACACAAAGTACTTTGCATGTAGCATTGTGCTTGATTCAACTTAAAAACTCATATAAAGAGCTGAGCCTACATATTTCAAGTCATAACAGAAGTAAACTCCACATAAGTACACTGTTTGCAAAAGTGACTCGTTGCCGTTATTTGGGCAGACTGTATCACAGGAAAGCTTGCTTGACAACTATGAAAAGTGTCTGTTGTTCTTCCAGTTTGGGATATTCTCTTCCTAAACATGTGGCCCTCTAAGGCAATTTCGCATGCTGCCATAATGAGAGCCAGTATGAACAGGGGACGAATTCTATAGGAGAGGTCGTGCGCTGTACATAATATGCTTTCTCAGGGTCAGAAGAGGATTCAAAGGTCTGCTAATATATTTTCTATGGTTTAGAAATCAAGGACTTCATTCATAACATTGCAAATTTGGTCGCACAGGCTTAGTTGGTAAAAATACCATTGAGCAGCTTCTCATTTCATTGTTCGTATCTTATGCAGGCTCTGTGAATGCTGGAAACTGCAAGGAACTGGGCCGAAAACCTGACATTGATGGCTTTCTTGTGGGTGGTGCCTCCCTGAAGCCCGAGTTTGTCCAGATCATTAATGCTATGCAGGGTTAGCTCGACATGTCGTAGCTCGCAAGCCCACTCAAATTAAGACCTTCCTTTTTTTTAAGGCTTCTTGTTCCTTGATTAAGGAAGGGCATACATTTGAGATTGCTTGAGGCTCTTGTTCATCTGACACACTACAAACGTTTTCTTTATTTTCTTGGTTGTCTAAATAGTTCACGAAAATGCATTTGAGTGAAAATTTAGGTATATATAACTGATTATTTGTCCGAAATTTACATCTATTAGTGACTAGTCACCATGGAATGTTGTTGATTACATAACCCTTGAACTGAGCATCAGTGGCCTGTCATGTTCTTGGAAGTAGCTTACCTCAGTGTCATGTCCTGAACAATAACAAAAAGGTTTGCCGTGTGGTGCAGAGCTGCGAAACAGCGGTTATACACATAGCCTGTTGCTACTGCCAGAGAATGTTTAATTTAAAACATTATTCCATGTGAACCAATTACTGTACTGTAGTTTGTCTTGCGAGTTCGCTAATGTGAAAGAGTTGTATCGAACCGGTTAAAATTTGCTGTTGTCATGTCTTTTTATGACACTGCCATTACGAATAAATATTTGGTGCAATGCACCACTTCTGTGAATTGGAATTTGGTATGATGTGTGAAATTGATTTTTGAATGAAAAGTCCCTGAGCAAGGGACGTTGCGGGGCCAACGTTTTGACCAGGGGCCCTGGGACAGTTTTGCTTTGCTTAAATGATGACTCGCAGCATTTTTCCTAAGTTTACAGCTTCTCTGTTGTACGATTTGCACATAAGTACTATTAAGGACGACTTTCTGTGTATGCTACAAAGCACAGTTTCGGACATCCACCACGACAGAAGAACTGATAGACCATGCCGACATGATTCATCTCATTAAAAAAAAAAGGTAAGCAGAATATTTATGGTGTAATATTATAGAAACTGTCACATTACACCATAATTGTGGAATTTCTTAGGCTTATCAGAGGTGCCTAGCTAATCAAAGTTCATCAATGCCGGAATTCGATGTGACTGAACTTTATGGTTTCAAGAATATCGCCCCAAGTGTTGGCAGTTAATATCGAACAGGTTTCGCGAGTCTCCATAGTTAAAGCATCTGCCTTGTACGGGAGAGGCAATTCAACTAATCGTGCCATTGGAAATTGATGTTATGGGTAGAGTAGTCTGTGGATGCAGAATGCGGTATGTACGGGGCACTGGAAAGGGGGCATTCTGTAAAAGGACCTCTGGATGTGCCCACCGCAACGGCGTGAGTGATCGACCATCAGCCACTGCTGCTGGAAACCTGATTGGAGCTGCTTATAGGCGCATATGGTGAAGTACGTGTAAGCATTAGTTATTGGTGAATGCAGGAGCCCGAAGCTTAGGTAACGGCTGCGACAGAGTCTTTGCCATAATGAGAGTTGTTTTGTCTCGCATGGCAAACACAGCGGTTTGTGCACTCGGCAACCTTTGCCCGGAAAAGTTTCAGGCTGCTCCGGGGGACCGCAGATATACGAATGACCATGCGCTTTTAAAATTCTCCACGTAAATTTGGGGGGAGGAGTTTAAGAGCTCTGCATTAGCGGACAGCTTCATTGTAAGTTCTATGGATCGGTACAACGACTTCTCTTCTATACAGCGTGTTTCAAGAAATGTCCAGAATCCTCGAAAAATTCGGCAAATGCGATACTCGCTCGCTGTATTCGCATGTGCTTTTACTGTAGCAATTAGAATCTTAAGATGGATGATTACATAATTTGGGGCTAAATATAAATGTTAATCACTTAACTTAATTAGTCGGTGTATGCTGTTGAGTGAAATGGGAGAATTTAAATTCTCCATGAAAGAAACCAATGGCAGCTCTGAGATATAAAAAAGGTGGCTTCTATTAATTATTCTGACGTAATGAAACTCAACGGTGAAACCGAAACCAAAGCACCGATGAGCGCGACAAGCAGACCACTCGAATGACGTTATTGTTCAAGATGTCGATTACGGAGGTGCAGTTTCTCCTATAGAGTTTCTCAAAATTAACTATAAAGGGCACTGTGGCGCTGCGATCGTTCAGCGACCATGGGAATGATGGGTAGTACACACATTTGCCTAGTCTTCGTACTTGCGAGTGGCGAATCGTACTTGCGGCTTCGTTTATTGCTGTGTTTTGGTTTTGTTTTGAAAGAAAGATTGAACCCTTTTGAACTTCGTTAGCCAATTTGGAAAGTAAGTCTAAAAAAATAAAATGGTGAAGCGCAACCGCTGAACTTTTGCTAATGCTTGTTTCGTAAGAAAACAGCTCCAAGCCACACGAAGACACACGGAGCCACAAGCAGGCCAGAAGTACTAATTTTAGACAAATGTGTGTACTACTAGAGTGTACTAGAATAGGTACACTCTAGTACTACCCATCATTCCCATGCTCGCTGAAGCGCCGTGCGTTGCAGCTCCCACACACACTAGCGCCACAGTTCTCTCTAGTAAATATTGTGGGAAACTCTGTGGTTTCTCCATGTTTGTGAACGTATGTGTATCATGCGCGCTATCATTGCAAATGCAGCCCACGCACCCACACAGCGAAGTCGATTGGTCGTTAGTGTAACTGCGCCCACTCACTCAGGACATCTCCGACGAATAAGGAAGTTGCGCTCTTCCACGTTTCGGTTTCGGTATCGCTGCAGAATTTGAGACAATAGCATTACTTTGCAATCATTACTTGAGGCCGCTTTTTCAAAATCTCAAAGCAACAATGAATTTATTGAGTTCCGCTAGTGAAAAATTTAGCTCAACTTTTTTGATTACTTACCCTAATGATTTCTTCAACAACATTAAGATGTCTGCCGCTACAGAATGAGTCTGTGGAGACTGCGAGCTGATACTGCACTTTCCTGAGTTGTGAAGGGTATTGGACATATTTCTTGAAGCACCCCATGTAGTGTTCTTCAGCGTCTGAAACGGCCTCGCTGAAGCCTCCTCTTGCGATCACCGAAACTCTTTTTTCGGCACTTAATTTTTTTTAAGTCTGAATTTTCTTGACGTATACAGTGTCCCATGTCTGCTTTACTTCATACATCTGAGCACGCTTTTATTTCACTACCACGTGGTTGAGAAAAGTCTTCTCGGAAAGTGTTTTTCTACATTGTTTTTTTTTTTGTTTCACCACGCATACAGCACGTTCAGGTATTTCACATTGGGTTTGTGTAGGAAACGGTTGTGTAGCTTAGTGGTTAGAATGCTCGAGTTCGAAGTGTGAGGGTTTTAGGTTCGAAACGCAGCAAAGCCAGCAAAATTTCTCGCTGCTTTCTGCATTTATTGTTTTATTTGTTTACGGCGCTATAATCGCGTTACCTGACAGAGTGGACTGATAATTTCTCTCGTTGAGCCGGCATAGAAATGCTCACAAATTTAAATGTGTTCTCCCTGCAGTTTGTCGGTATCGCCAGAACACATATGGTTCAGATGTATTCGCATGTTGCAAGCCGGTATGATTATCTTAGTGGCCATGACACTCCTCTTACAAGCGTGGGGGTGTGGGGTCGAAACCCATCACCTCGCGGAAAGCTTTCTTTATGTTCTTATGCGTTATTTTGTTAGAGCGATTCATCTTATGTTACGCAGGGAAAAGGCGCGGACGGACACGCCGTTTCATCGCTTCTGTACATCATGTGAACATACTCGAAATAAAACAGGTTAATGGGTTACTTGGTGACACATTCTTAAACTATTTCGGCGTTGCTTGTGGCGGTGACAGAACAGAAGAGGGCATAGCTTGTCATGTCATGCACTTTTCTGTCCAGTACTTGTCAAAAGTAGTGCTGAAATATTTTTAATAACGTACCAGCCGCATTGAAAATACATCCATGGCGTACGTTCTGGTCGCTGACGCTATTAACTGCACAACTGCTCAGTAAAATGACAAACTGCTTCGTAATGACCTCGGCGTAACGAATGTACGCAATAATGAGTGCAATCTGTTTAATAAAGCAAACCTCTACGTTCCTTCTTCCTTGGGGTCTCCGGTTCGGTGTGCTTGCTTGATCACTTATCGTGTATTTCAACAGAAGCCTCCCAAGCTGAAGGCCCGCCTGAGGCGTTTGCTTTACTGCAGTAAATGTCGAAAAGCGGTCGAAAATGTTGAGGCCTTATCACCCATGATAAGGCTCAACTTGTGTCTGTCGCCACAGCTCGCAGCGATAGACCTACTTTAAAGTAAGACCGACCTTCCGTTCTTAAGGTTTTCCTGAGGCGTTGGCTTCACTGCAGTAAATGTCAAAAAAGCAGTCGAAAAAGTTCAGGCTTTATCACCCACGATAAGGCTCAACTTTTGTCTGACGTCACAGCTCGCAGCGAAGGAGCTACTAGTGACTGTAATACCGACCTTTCCAGCTAAAGGTCCCCCTGAGGCGTTCGCTTCTCCGCAATAGATGTCAAAAAGCAGCCGAAAAAGTTCAGGCCTTATCACCCATGATAAGGCTCAACTTTTGTCTAACGTCACAGCTCACAGCAATATACCTGCTTAACGGTAAGACCAACTTTGCGATTCTAAAGGTCCCCCTGAGGCGTTGGCTTCCCCGCAATAAATGTCAAGAATCAGTCGCAAAAATTGTGGCCTTATCACCCATGATAAGACTCAACTTTAGTGTGACGTCACAACAAACACTGCGTTTAGTATGAGTTGGCGCAATGCGTCATTCGCAGTCTGCATACATTTCTCGTGAAAAAAACAAAAGAGGAATGTAGAACACCCACCCTCTCCACTAGTCGTGACAGGAGGTTGGCTTCCCATCAATACTGACAGTATGAAAATTTATCAAACGATTTATGACAGCTGTTGAACAAAAAATACGTATAATATGCCCATCGCTGCGACCTGTGACGTCACACAAATATTGAGCCTTATCATGGGTGATAAGGCCTCAACTTTTTCGACTGCTTTTTGGCATCTACTGTGATAAAAACAACGCCTCAGGGGGACCTTTAGAATCGGAGGGTCGGTCTTACAGTCATAGTAGGTCCATGGCTGCGAGCTGTGTGATCAGACAAAAGTTGAGCCTTATCATGTGTGATAAGGCCTGAACTTTTTCGACTACTTTTTGACATTTACTGTGGAGGAAGCTAACGCCTCAGGGGGACCTTTAGAACGGAAGGTTGGTCTTACTGTAAAGTATACGTCTATCGCTGCGAGCTGTGACGTCAGACAAAAGTTGGGCCTTATCATGGTTGATAAGACCTCAACTTTTTCGACTGCTTTTTGCCATTTACTGCGGGGAAGCCAACGCCTCAGGGGGGCCTTTAGCTGGAAAGGCCGGTATTACAGCCATAGTAGCTCCTTTGCTGCGAGCGATGACGTAGGACAAAATTTGAGCCTTATCATGGATGATAAGGCCTGAACGTTTTCAGCCGCTTTTTGACATGTATTGCGGGGAAGCCAGTGCCTCAGGGGGACCTTTAGCTCAGAAGGTCGGTGTTACGGCCATAGTAGCTCCTTTGCTGCGAGCTGTAACGTCAGACAAAAGTTGAGCCTTATCATTGGTGATAAATCCTGAGCTTGTTTTTTTCATCTGCTTTTTGACACCTATTTCCGGGAAGCCAACGCCTCAGGGGGACCTTTAGCTGGAAAGGTCGGTG